CATTTCTTATTTAAGGATGTTTAACATATTGATCTAATTTTTAATTTTAATATTATTTTAACGTACTGTAGGAATTAAGATGTAAACAAAAAAAAATTAACAAAGCTGGAAAAACTAATGAAGCTGAATACGACTCATTGTCAAACTAAGTCAAACTCTTATCATCATTAAACACATTTTATTTCATCCTACAACTTTGCTTCTTACATATTTTTCTACAGTTGGTTGTTTTCGAAAAATTTTAGCGTTTTCGGACTTTTTGAGAACCCTTAAAAAATACATATAATATATAGGATGTATTTTAATCAATGCAGTCAATTTCCTTCCAAATTATTGATGATACAAATAGTGTAATAAATATTTTAGAGGAAAATGCAACAGTTTCTAGGAACATATTTAGAAGTAGTATTTAAATGTAGTAAAGTTATCAACAAATCAATATTTTGCGATATTTTATACTTTACCATATTTTGACAAAAAATATTAAATTTTTCATAAATCATTGCTTCTTCATTGAATTGTATCAATTTTTTTTATGCACAGATTTATTAATTGATTGATGTAAAGAAAATACACAGTTGCTTTTAAAAAAATATATATATATATTTTTGTATATATTTTTAAAAGCAACTATTTTTTTACACCTATCAATTCATCTTATTATTCCGTGCATAAAAATAATAAAGTATAATTAAGAAGAATCAAAAGTTTTTTAAGATGTTTCATATTTTATGTCGATCGAAATATGGCATAATAAAGTATAAAATATCTCGTAAAGTATTGATTTCTTGATAACTTTATTTTAATATTTTTATATGTAGAAAAATTATTTAAAAAAATTTATTATATAAAACCATGACCTTTTTAACGCCTCCATCTAGAAAAAATGCAACTTGTAGAAAAAATCAAAATATGTTCCTCTCGAAACGTTCCACTTTAATCCAAAATATATTTTTTATTATCAATCATTTCGAGAAAATGTACTGTGCGTTCATTATAATGGGAAACCCAATACATTACACAAAAATCAGTTTAGAATTAATTTCTATTCATGACTATTTCATATTAGTAGTACAGTATATTTTCAATAGTATAGTGTGTATATTATATTTTTTATATTAAATGTAATATATAATTTCCTTCCATTTATTTAAAATAATTGATTAAACATTTACAAAATATCAGTTTGATCAAAAAGTCTTTTCATATTTTGAGTCGCTCTATTTACCGAAAATACGAAAACATTTTCTCTGACCAACGTAATGTAATATATTTTTTCTCCATAAAATAAAAGGATCGTTAATATATAAAATCAGCGCCACAAAAAATCAAATTCGAAGTCATGTATTTTTGCGAAAAATAATAGAGAGATCGTTGACTGAAGATGTTTGATTGAAGGTTTTAAAATTTAATACTCAACTTTCGACATCTTTAAAAATCACGTTTTTCTGCTACAATTTTATTATAAATGACGCCAAAATTTAATTAAAATCTTATGAAAAATAAACTTGAAACGAGAAGAAAACATTTTACATAATTTGTTTAATTGTATTATCTAACTGAACATATTTAATTTTCTTTAAATTGCTTTTTTAATTATTACGTTACAATTTTTTTTACTGTAGTAATTTTTTTTATGACGATTCAAAGTGAATAGTGCATTTTTTTAGATCTTCAAAAATGTATACTTTGCCGTTGATATTTTACCACACAATTTCAGTTGTTTACACTTCTGTAAGTTGTATCTTCATAGTATTTCGAATAAATGCAAGGCATTTTCAATAGATGCCATATAAAAAGTTTACTTTTCTACAGCTAGGGTTATAATATACTATATGCGTATTTGTAATTTGTCATTTACGAAGTTGTCATGAATACATTGTCGAATGCATAATGTACATTCAAATAAAATATAGTGTGCATTCAATTATATACATAGTTAAGAGAAATAAAATATTTATATCGAATTTATTAAAAGTGCATTTTTTTAAACATAAAAACAAACAAATTGTAAAAATGCAAGTAGCTCAAATTATAGCAATAAAAAAGCGACGCAAAATATGGATTTTTTTATAAAGGACCTGAAAATGTACTACTCGCTTTAAATCGTCATAATTCAATAAAAAAATTTTTTATTAATAATAAAAAAAGCTTCTAAAGGAAAAATGTTTAGTTTTTTGATACAATTAAAGAAATTTGTAACAAATTGTTCTTTCCATGCACGCAATCAAAATTGAAGTTTATTTTCCAATTTTGCAAAGTTTACTTTCAATTAGCTCTTTGTAATATTTAAATAAATGAAACTAATGTAAAGAAATGTAAGTTGAAGATTTCAAAAGTTAAATTAGTTTTAAGCTTTAAAACGCTTTTTTAAACATCGCGATGATTTTACGCTAACAAATGTAATTTAATTATTTGATCCTTTTTGACGCTGATTTAATGATAATTTAAGTTATTCTTTAATTTTGTTAATTGACAAGTGAATATAATATAATTTTTAATTTTGTTTACTTTTATTATAATTTATTTTCACTTTATTGTAAATTATTATAATATTATTATACTATTTATTACAGTTTTTACTGTTGTTTTACAAATTTTTGTCGATAATACAATAACGATTCGACAACGCAAAGTTAAATGTATCCACTGGACGTCTAATGACATGTTATCGACGTCTTTCATTCTGTTTCCTATTCTGGCCGCAACATTGTAAAGAGGGCGTTAGCGCACGACGAATTTTTCCTGCCACGCTAACTCCCGTAAGGGTGTCGG